GTGTGTGTGTGTGTGTGTGTGTGTGTTATTTTTTAACTGTAATGAAACAGTAAATACTGGATCAACATTTAGAGTTTATCGTCACTTACAAAACACTGATGTTTTTCCAGCATAATAAATAAAAACTCGTTAAATAAAGAGTAAAGTTAAATACATTCAGTGTGAAGTTTACTGTGTTATTTATTTTATCTGTTTGGTTTCCTTTAAATGTACAACACTTCAGTCAGTGCTAGTTTTTTTTTTTTCTGAGAAATGAATTGGACTTGACTTTTGTTGATAATATGTGTGATTTGATGCAGTTAAATTCAATTCAGTTTATTTATACTGTATAGTGCCAAGTCACAGCAGAAGTCGTCTCAGAGCACTGAACAGAAACATTCACAGACATTATAAAAGTCAATTGGTAAAAGTTATCAATCTAAGGAAGCCAGCAGATTGTGTTGAATCTTCACTTTGTTGCAGTCTCCCATCCTGAGCAAGCACAAAAGCAACAGTGGAAAGAAAAAACTCCCTTTTAACAGGAAGAAACCTCCAGCAGAACCAGGCAGGACAACCGGCCGTCTCTTTTGACTGGCTGGGTTGGAGAGGACAGGAAGTAGAAACAGACAAACACAGAAGGTCCAGGTGCATTTTCTATTGGAAGAAAGACAAAAAACACAAGTTAAAATAAAAAATAATTACAAATACAAACAGGTAGTAGAGCAGTTAAAGATAACTGCAGAGTGAGGAAATGTGGTCAGTTTGTCCTCCAGCAGTCTAAGCCTATAGCAGCATAACTAAGGGATAGCTCTTGAAACCCAAGCTGTCCCTAACTATAGGATTTATCAAAAAGGAAATACTTAAGCCTAGTCTTGAAAGTAGACAAGGTGTCAGCCTCATGGACAGAAACTGGAAGTTGGTTCCACAAGAGAGGAGCCTGATAACTGAAAGCTCTGCCTCCCATTCTGCTTTTGGAAACAAGGAACCACAAGTAAGCCTGCAGTCTAAGAGCTAAGTGCTCTGTTAGGAAAGTATGGTACAACAAGATCTATAACATAGCATGGAGTTAGGTTGTTGAGAGCTTTGTAGGTTAGAAGTAACATTTTGATTTATATTCTGAATTTGACAGGGAGCCAATGAAGAGAAGCTAAAACTGGAGCGATATGATCTCTCATTTTGGATCAATTGAAGATGCCATGAGAATATCATTAGCAACTTTCTCCAGTTCTGTCTCCATATTATGATGAGCTTTTCTTAAGTAAAGGTTTAATTGGCAACCTTAAAACACTGAGGTACATAAACACAGACAAATTAAGCAGATCCAAAATGGGGATATTAATTAGGGGAAATACTTCTTTAAACAGTCTGGATGAGATAGGATCTAGCAAACATATGGATGGTTTGGATGAAGCTATTGTTTTTGACTATTCAATTCAGTTTATGTAGAGAGCTCAACAGGACAGACAGACAGGCAGACAGACAGGTAGGTTGATTGATTGATTGATTGATTGATTGATTGATTTGTCCCCATAGGGACATTGGTTTGCAGCATTGCCAGCAGGCATTTACATAAAGGTCATACATATACAAACATGACATTAACATCCCTCATTACGGCAAAGAAGTCAAGCTCAGTAATTTATTATACCTCTTTATTGTTTAATGATGTAATCACTTGTGGTATGAACTAAAATGTTGTCCTGTTTTTGGGAATAAATGAAGGCAGTACCGTTGCCCTGAAGGAAGAAACTCAAATGGACAAAATTAATCCAAAAATAAATCAGGTTCTAGTGACATTTCTAAAACTGCCTCATCTGACAGGGAATCAGAGGCAGTAGTAGGAAGGATGGTTTGAGTTTTCTTTCTTATTTAAATAAGGATTGTAAGCTATATTATTAAGGACTTTATTTCTATGCCTTGTGAGCTTAAATGAATATACCACGGACACAAAATTGTGATGTTGTCCGACACATAAATCCAGTACATCCACTGTGACTTGTTTTAAAAGTTATTTACAGTAAGTATTTCCATTTGAAATACTCTTACAGATTAACAGAAAGCAGATTTAATCGTCTTGGCAAATGACCCGTATATTGAAAACATATAACCAGCTTGTAAGAACACTTTGTGCAGGACTGTGGTGAACATTTCCTTTGAAAGAAAAACCAAGACTGTTTTTTTTTCCGTTTTTTTGTTGTGTGGTGATAAGTCTTTCGGGTTTGCACTGACAAAAATGCAGAAGTGAACAAAAGTTGACATCTTTGTACCACAAACAATATTTGCAAAAGCAAATGCACTTTATAAATAACGTCACGACTGCTCATTAATGAAAGCATCAATGTATTTGTTCATAACTACATGTGAATTTGTCTGAAGTGTTAGCAAAATATTTCTTCAACCAGTGGGTGGATTTTAATGAAACTCTTCTAAATTGATCACTGGATACGCCTCAACAACTTTTTTAACTATTGGAGCCAACCCAGTTCAAGATGGCCATCACAGCTACTTGACTTTAGCCAACACAAAATAGTTATAACTCTGCCAATTTTACAGATTTTGGGCTAGTAGCAGCTGAACATCTTCATCTCAAACACACATTGCAAGTGCTACATATTGTGCAATATATTTACTTAAAATGCTGGCATTAACAATTGGTGTCAATCTTGTCTGTCAGCAAAATATCTCATGAACCTCTGAACAGGTTTTAACAGAACTCAGAAAGTATTTGTTAGACTGAAAAAGGTGAGTCTCTGTTCATTAGTCAGTAAATTAAACTGCTACACCTGAAATAGTCCTGCAAACATGCATTGTTTAAACTTTCAGACTCCAGTTCAAGTTTCAGTATATTGTCATTCACAATCACATGTGGTACATAGTAGACTTAATAAGGTATGGTACCCATCGGTCTGTGGACAATTATATTGATAACTGCTTAAAATAGAAATATTAACCTGCACAGCTGGACACCTCAAGGGTCAAAATGATTCCTGTTCATTTCAAGGTCACAAGCTCAAAGGTCAAAGCCACAGACGACAGCCATGTGTAAACATTATCTATACTCTAACTTGACATCTGAATAACCTAGAAATGTCAACCCCTTTGTCCCCTAGATTGTATCAAGTCTGTCCATCCTTAAGCTACACAAGAAGTTGTGTGAATAATAAAGTTTTAGGAAAATATAAGACAGTTCACAAACAAAACCACTAAAGGTTCTGAGTCCTTGATTCACAACTGCACATCATATATTTTGGCACTGGTAGGTATGAATCATAAACTTTTCAAAACTTGAAGTTTTTTTTTTTTTTGCCTAAAAAAGTCAAGTCTGGTCCAATGGACATAAAAAAAATAAAATAAAATAAATAAATTATTAGGCATGCATTGTTTTGTTTTTTGAATGTCCAGAGGACCAGACTTAACTTTTTTAGATTTTTCTACCTGGATAATTCAGCATGCAGCACGGTGGCACAACTGGTAGAGCTGCTGCCGCTCAGTGAGCAGGTCCCTGGTTCAAACCCCGGTCCAGGGGTCTTTCTGGGTGGAGTTTGCATGTTCTCTTCGTGCATGCGTGGGTTTTCTCCGGGTACTCCAGTTTCCTCCCACAGACCAAAAACATGCATGTTAGGCTGATTGGTAACTCTAAATTGTTCCTAGGTGTGAGTGAGAGTGAATGGTTGTTTGTCTCGTTTGTCTCTATGTGTCCCTGTGATGGACTTGCGACCTGTCCAGGGAGTACCCACTCCTCGATCAGTGATTGCTGGACATAGGCACCGGCGACCACCGTGACCCAAACGGGTAAAGATAATGGATGGATGGATTATTGAGCATGCATCAGGTTATTTTCTTTGCATTTGCTTTTAGCTGTTCTCACCAGCTGCACCCACTGATAATGATCTTTCTTAAGACACCACAATACCTCTGCCATTGCCACAGAAAACAATAGATTAATTGGTTCTGATAAACGTTACCACACCCTTCAGAATCAGATATCTTTATTATGACTCATGCATTTCCATGGTCAGACCACATCATTGGAGACAAATGTATAAAAGCCAGGGTTAACGTCCAGAGAAGGTTTGATCATCACCAGATCAAGAACAAAGGAGGAGATGTTCTCACTGAGGGCTTCTGTTGCGTTCCTCTCCTGGACCTGTCTCCTCGTTGTCAACTTGAGTGAGTAATTATTCCTTAAGTGCAGTTATTTTGTTAGGATTTATTCCATTTTATTTATTCTTTCCAAGCATAAACATGATATTTTTATGTGTTTTGTTTTAGCTCATGGATCTGAGATTATCAATGGGAACCAAGTGAAGCCACACTCGCTGCCTTTCATGGCTCTGCTGGGGTATCCGTCTCCGTTCTGCGGAGGGACTTTGATTGATTCAAAATGGGTCCTGACTGCTGCCCACTGCGGCAAGTAAGAACTGGAGCATATACACTCCGTTTGCAGCTATCAAGCAATTTCCAAATGCGCTACAGTGTTTCTTGCAATTTCCAGGCTATTAAGTTTTAGGATGCAGTAGCGCTACAGAGTTTAAAATACAGAAATGAATAACAGACTGCATCCAACATTTTTATCTAAATATTGCTCTTTCAACAACTACCTAAGCATCAGAGCCAGCCACAGTCAGATTATGAGGATAATCAGCTGGATACCATTTTGAAGAAACTTTGTATATGAAATCTGATTCTTAATGTCATAACTACATTATTAATACTGTACTACTGTGTCAACTTTCAGGTCAATTTAATTATCCCTGGTTATTAATAATTTTTTTTTCCCACTTGCAGTATTAACGCTTTGCAGCTGGGGGTGCACTCTATCAAAGCAAAGGAAAAAGAAGAACGTGTCAGGCAGTTACGACTGGTGATGAGAAGCTTTCCTCATCCTTTCTATGACAAAAACACTCATAGCAATGACCTCATGTTGCTCGAGGTAAGGTGACAAAACAATGATAAGTCACTGTTGTCTGAGTAAATAAATACAGTAAATAAATGCATATTTCCCGCCACCTCTTGTGCCGGTGATTTAAACAAAAATCATCCAGACTTGAAATGTTACTGAGTTTTGAATGTACAGCCAGTGAGTACTTTCAGTTCTACTAAAATCTGTCCAGTGGTTGACAGCAAAGGTTTCTGCTAATGCTTTAAACCAAACTATTTGGCAATGTGTATAAGAGTAGGTGTTTTGAATGACTCTCAGCTATGACCACACAAACAACAACACACACACACACACACACACACACAAACAATTTTGTTCACATCAACACGGAGCAGATTGAAACAACACATTCTTAACGATGCGGTGATTTATGTTGCTTTACTGTGTAAGATACATTTTCTTTTCCAAATTTATAAAGCTGATTTAGTTTTACTGTATTCAGTCAATATATATATATATATATATATATATATATAAGCAGTATATACTTTTTTAGTGTAATTTAATTTCATTATTTTTCCAGCTTTATGAGCCAGTGAAGGAAACCAAGTGGGTCAGGGCTCTCAGGCTGAATAATAATGTCAACGATCCAGAAGGCGGCTCCGTCTGTGTGGTGGCTGGATGGGGAACAACAGACTACAACGACAAAAGGATGTCAGATGTCCTGATGTCCGTCAACGTGACGGTGATCGACAGAGAAAAGTGCAGCTCTGCTCAATTTTATGGCTACAGCCTTAAGATCTACCCTAACATGATCTGTGCTGGTTCCGATGGTGATAAGGTTGCAGACACCTGCCAAGTAAGTGCAACTCACTGCATTTTATTTTGATGTTAAATGAAATGATTGTTTAAATGTGACCAATATGTGTTTTATGTTTGATTTTTTTCATCTCCAGGGGGATTCAGGAGGGCCAATAATATGTGATGGAGCTCTGGCTGGAGTCACTTCTTTTGGAATAAGGTGTGGACTAAAACACAAACCTGGGGTGTACGCTTTTCTCACACCAGTTCAACTTGACTGGATCAAGCTGATGATGAAGATGGCTGAAATATAATGAATCTATTTCTCTGAGATCGTTTCTGTCCGCTTGTTGTTCTGCTTTTCTTTGCTTTTATCAATAATAAAATAGCATTACTGAACATTAAGAAACAGTTTGTCACTTTCTGATTGAGTTTATGTGACCACGCAGCACAGGAAGACATTTACTGTGGTGCTTGAAAGTTTGTGAAGCCATTAGAATTTTCTATATTTCTGCATCAATATGACCTAAAACATCATCAGATTTTCACACAAGTCCTAAAAGTAGATAAAGAGAACCCAGTTAAACAAACAAAACAAATATTATACTTGGTCATTTATTTATTTATTGAGGAAAATAATCCAATATTACCGGTACATACTGTATTTATAAGTGGTAAAAGTATGTGAACCTCTAGGATTAGCAGTTAGTTTGAAGATGAAATTAGAGTCAGATGTTTTCAATCAATGGGGTGACGATCAGGTGTGAGTGGGCACCCTGTTTGATTTAAAGAACAGGGATCTATCAAAGTCTTCTCTTCACAACATGTTTGTGAAAGTGTATCATGGCACAAACAAAGGAGATTTCTGAGGACCTCAGAAAAAGAATTGTTGATGCTCATCAGGATGGAAAAGGTTACAAAACCATTTCTAAAGAGTTTTAACTCCACCAATTCACAGTCAGACAGACTGTGTACAAATGGAGGAAATTCAAGACCATTGTTACCCTCCCCAGGAGTGGTGGACCAACAAAGATCACTCCAAGAACAATGTGTGGAATAGATAATGGAATAGAGATCACAAAGGACCCCAGGGTAACTTCTAAGCAACTGAAGGCCTCTCTCATATTGACTAACGTTAATGTTCATGAGTCCACCATCAGGAGAACACTGAACAACAATGGTTCATGGCAGGGTTGAAGGAAAAGCCACTGCTCTCCAAAAAGAACATTGCTGCTCGTCTGCAGTTTGATAAAGATCACGTGGACAAGCCAAAAGTTTGTTGGAAGAATGTTTTGTGGACAAATGAGACCAAAATAGAACTTTTTGGTTTAAATGAAAAGTGTCTGGAGAAAGGAAAACACTTCATTCCTGCCTAAGAACCTTATCTGTAAAACATGGTGGTGGTATCATGGTTTGGGCGTATTTTGCTGAATCTGGGCCAGGGCAGCTTGCCATCATTGAGCAAGCCCTGAGGATCAGTAAGTCCATTTTGGACAGAGCTTTTCATTATCAGGTTCCTGTTCTGGAAAACTAACCTCCAATTTGAATATGCGAGTCTGGAACCGTCTCTGCGTTTAAAACTAATCTTAAAGCCAAAAGGAACAGGGACTAAAGAACTTCAAAAGCCTTTTCACTTCCAGGATGGGTTTTAAAAATGAAACCTTTTTTTTTTTATTACAAGGCAAAGGTGATATTAATAAATCATGTTTTTCTTGATGACTCGGTGACAAGTAAATGACCATTCTTACCATTTTTACTTGTCACTTTTGACAATCTGCAGTTTTCAAAAAATTGAGTAATAGTTTCCTAATTTGGAAATAAAAATGTAATATTTTGACAATTCTGGTCCACCATCCGGCGTCTCAGGGTGGGAAAGTGGTACACCACCAACACTGTTTGTAGTGGAGGTGGTGTGCTGCTGACCTTAACTCGGGATGTCTTGGGTTGGTGGGCAGAATACTTTGAAGACCTCCTCAATCCCACCAGCACATTTTACACTGAGGAAGTGGAGCCTGAAGACTTTGGGTCGGGCTCTCCAATCTCTGGTGCTGAGGTCACCGAGGTGGTTAAAAAGTTCCTCGGTGGCAGGGCCGCAGGGGTGGATGAGATTTGCCCGGAGTTCCTTAGGGCTCTGGATGTTGTGGGGTTGTGTTGGCTGACACGATTCTGCAACATTGCTTGGACATTGGGGGAAGTTCCCCTGGATCGGCAGACAGTGGTGGTGGTCCCCCTATTCAAAAAGGGGGACCGTAGAGTGTGTTCCAACTACAGGGGGATCACACTCTTAAGCCTCTCTGGTAAAGTCTATCCAGGAGTTCTGGAGAGGAGGGTCTGTTGGATAGTCAAACCTCGGATTCAGGAGGAACAGTGGGGTTTTCATCCTGGTCGTGGAACACTGGACCAGCTCTACACCCTCTGCAGGGTCCTGGAAGGTGTGTGTGAGTTTGCCCAACTGGTCTACATGTGCTTTGTGGACTTGGAGAAGGCGTTCAACCGCATTCCTTGGGGAACCCTGTGGGAGGTACTCCGGGAGTATGGGGTACCGGGCCCTTTGATACGGGCTGTTAGGTCCCTGTATGACCGGTGTCAGAGCCTGGTCCGCATCGCCAGCAGTAAGTCGGGCTTGTTCCCGGTGAGAGTTGGACTCAGCCAAGGTTGCCCTTTGTCACCGATTCTGTTCATAACTTTTATGGACAGAATTTCTAGGCGCATCCAAGGTGTTGAGGGGATCTGTATTGGTGGCCTTGGGATCGCTTCTCTGCTTTTTGCAGATGACGTGGTCCTATTGGCTTCATCAAGTCGTGATCTACAACTTTTGCTGGAGTGGTTCGCAGCCGAGTGTGACGCGGCTGAGATGAGGATCAGTTCCTCCAAATCCGAGGTCATGGTCTTGAACCGGAAAAGAGTAGAGTGCCCTCTCCGGGTTGGGGAGGAGGTCCTGCTCCACATGGAGGAGTTTAAATATCTCGGAGTCTTGTTCACGAATGAAGGAAAAATGGAGCGGGAGATCGATAGGCAGATAGATGCGGTGTCAGCTTTGAAGCGGGCGCAGTACTGGTCTGTCGTGGTGAAGAGAGAGCTGAGTCAAAAGTCGAAACTCTCAATTTACCGGTCGATCTACGTTCCTACCCTCATCTATGGTCATGAGCTTTGGGTTGTGACCGAAAGAACGAAATCATAGCTACAGGAGGCCAAAATGAGTTTTTCCCACAGGGTGTCTGGGCTCTCCCTTAAAGATAGGGTGAGAAGCTTGGACATCCAGGAGGGACTCAGAGTAGAGCCGCTGCTTCTCCACATCGAGAGGAGCCAGTTGAGGTGGCTCGGGCATCTGTTTAGGATGCCTCCTGGACGCCTCCCTGGTGAAATGTTCCGGGTGCGTCCCACTGGGAGGAGACCCAGAGGAAGACCCAGGACACGCTGGAGGGACTATGTTTCTCAGCTGTCCTGGGAATGCCTTGGGATTCCCTCGGAGGAGCTGAACCAAGTGGCTGGGGAGAGGGAAGTCTGGGCCTCCCGACTTAAGCTGCTACCCCCGCGACCCGACCCCAGATAAGCGGAAGAAAATGGATGAATGGATATTTTGGTAAATTTCTGGATTGAAATCATACACTGTCAACTTGTTTATGTGTCCAAATTTTGTTTTGAGTCTTGTTTTACATGAAGTTTCAAGTATTTCTTTAAATCAAAAAGGCTCTGCAAAGTATGAAATACTCACAGCATGACTCGAACAACATATTGCATGAATTAAAGTTTAAATATCTGAAAAGTTTTTGAAATGGACAGCTCACAATCAAATGCTCTAAAACCACCGATGGTTCTGAGTCCTTGATTGCTCCCAAAAACAAATCTCTCTTGAAAATGAGTTCTCGTGACTCAATGAGACTATCTGTATAAATAAAGGGTAAATGAAAAAAAAGAAAATTTGCAACTGTGCATCGTATTTCATTGCACTGTTTTTGTTAAAGAATTTAAAAACTTGAAGCATTTTTTTTTATCTTCGCATCATCGTTAAGCTGTTTTTTCCAGTTTGCACTTAGTGCTAATGATCTTTATCACAAAACCCCCCCGAAAAAACTGCACGAAGCTGCAGAAAACAAGTCTCTATTGGTTCTGATAAACATGATCACAGCCTTCAGAATCACATATCATGTCAGAAATCTTTATCACGCATTTCCATAATCGAAACTTTCATGAGAAAAAACATATAAAAGCCAGAGTTAACATCCAGAGAAGGTGAGATCATCATCAGATCAAGAACAGCGAAGGAGATGTTCTCTCTGAGCGCTTCTGTTGCTGTCCTCTCCTGGACCTTTCTCCTTTTTGTCAACTTGAGTGAGTCATTATTCCTTAAATGCAGTTATTTTGCAAGAATTTATTATATTTTTGGTTCCAAGCATGACGATGATCTTTGATATGTTTTGTGTTAGGTCATGGATCTGAGATTATCAATGGGAATGAAGTGAAGCCACACTCAATGCCTTTCATGGCTCTGCTGATGACAGATGCTCCAAACTGCGGAGGAACTTTGATTGATCCAAAATGGGTCCTGACTGCTGCACACTGCACGGAGTAAGAACTTAAACATCACAACATCAAACAGAAAGGCAGAAATAAATTCACAATCTGAATAATATTGTTTCATTTGAAAATATACCTCCTTGCTTCAAAACTCACAAGAAACATACATTTTCTACAAAACTGACAGCATTAAGAATTTATAATTAATTGTTACTTATTCAGCATCTATGTGACAGTCACTGAAGTTATTATACTTGGTTAAGTATACACTTGTTGGTAACCTTCATTAAAAAAGCTTTAAAGACTTATCGGCTATAAAAAAAATAAAATGTAAAAACAGCTCTCGCTCTCTCTCTCAGTACTGAGACTGTGCTGCTGGGGTTGCACTCTATCGAAAACGATGAAGAAGAAAACCATTACAGGCAGGTTCTAAAGGTGAAGAGAAGCATTCCTCATCCCTACTATGCCGAATGTGCATTTCTCAACGACCTCATGTTGCTCGAGGTAATGTGACAAAACAATTTCTTCATTTGATTTAACCAGACATAAACATTAAGAACACTTTTTTTTTACAGTGCTGGCCTGGCAAGCACCAACAGGCACTTGTAGGATCAAGGGAAGGGAAATAATAGAGTTAGACATAACAATAAAATATACAAGTCAAAAACAAACAAGGAAATCACAAATTGCATTAACAAG